AATTGTCCCACCCCCCTTCCCCAATTCAAGTTGCAATATCAATATAAAGCAACTGGGTACAACACAGCAAGAATATTCACAATTTGGTACAACCAAAACCAGAGGATCACCAACTGAGAGATCCCCATTTTTGAAATTATTTACCTATAGACTATGTGTATCTATAGATATATCACACCCAGTTATCTAAGATTTCCCTGGTTTTAGAGCAAGTGGAAGTTCCATTGAGTCTTAGCCAGCAGTTACAGCTCTGCTTTATCTAATGGCATGTTTTTCTCCTCCTATAAGTTTTAGATTTTCTATGGCCTCCATGTGTCTTCAAATTTAAGGTTTTCCCTAGCACCTTTATTATCAATTACTAGATATTCAGGAGGGTCTCTATTGTGTCTTGAACAAAAAAAATCTAGTGAATGATACAGTTGCCCCTTACTCGCTGGTCCCAAAGCTGCCTTCCCATTTTTTGAGAAGAACTGCAGAAACAAATTGTATCTCCTAGCACCATAGGATTAAAAACCCAGAAAACTGAGAACTACATGTGCATTTTGGGAGCACTTGCCAGAAACACTACAACAGGAGCACTGTCTCTGTCCATTATCTTCTTGGATTCAATAACAAAGTTACACTACAGATTAAATTTAGAGCCATCCTGCATTAAGAATGCAAATCTCACTAAGACCACCACTTTGTCCAGAATAAGTTGAGTACATAAACATCCCAGGGAATCTCTACTGTTAGGAACTGCTTGAGAAACACTTTAAGCAAATAACCCAAGCTGACTTCACTCAAGTATCCAGCCCACCCCCATCCCCTAATAAATTTTAATCCTTGATTAACCTCTCTGAGTAAGATGGGAAGTGAGGTCTGAAAAATGACATGAAAAATGTTTATAAAACACAACTAGTGAAGACTTGCCAGAATGGGACATCCCAGATGATTTAAAATGCATTGTTCAAACTGAACTCACACACAGCATGCACACAGCCTACAAACACTCCTGAGTTTCCATGGAACAATCAATACCTACTCAAAAACAGACTTGTTTCTTAAAGAGTTAAAAAAAAAAAAAAAAAAAAAAAAA